AGATAAAGAAACAGCATGGAAAGGGATTGGCGGGGAGAAAGAAGGGAGAATGACAGAGAGGTTCTAAAAGAATTAATTAATTTAAGTTAGGTCTCAAGTGCTAAAGCAACATTGTAATTCATGAGATATTGACAGCTAAAGCAAAAGCAAACACCCTCATTATATTTTATTTTCAAATTTCCAAAACTCTCAACCCTTCCAAAGTAATTCAAAGTGAAATCCCTGATCTAGATTAGGAAGTTGTCAATACAAAAGACAAATATAGGTGTGGAGTAATAGCATAAGATTTGTTGAAAAGCAATCTAATCCAACTATTATTGTTGAAAGATAAAGAAATAGCATGGAAAGGGGTTGGGGGGAGAAAGAAGGGAGAATGACAAAAAGGATCTAAAAGGATTAATTAATTTAAGTTAGATTTCAATTGTCAAAGCAACATCGTGATTCATCAGGTATTGACAGCCAGAGCAAAAGCAAACATCCTCGTTATATCTTATTTTCAAATTTCCAAAACTCTCAACCCTTCTAAAGTAATTCAAAGTGAAATTTTTGATCTAGATTAGGAAGTTGCCAATACAAAAAGCAAATACAGGTGTGGAGTAATAGCATAAGATTTGTTGAAAAGCAATCTAATCCAATTATTATTGTTGAAAGATAAAGAAACAACATGGAAAGGGGTTGGGGGGAGAAAGAAGTGAGAATAACAGAAAAATTCTAAAATGATCAATTAATTTAAATTAGATTTCAAGTGCTAAATTTTAAAATTTTGTAACTCAATCTCTCGATCTTGCAACTCTATTGTAATGAATTTATAACTTGTATTTTAAATTTTAACAAAAAAAAATAATTTTTTTTATTTTTTAACCATGTTAAAATTTGGAAAATAAATTAGAAATTCATCACAATGCAGTTGCAAAATTAAGAGATTGAGTTATAAATTTATGAAGTTTGGCACTTAACATCTAACTTAAATTAATTATCCTTTTGAGACCTCTTTATCATTCTCCTAGTAAAAAAAAAAAAAAAAAGGGGCATTTACGTAGTGAGAGGTGAGGGAGTAGCTATATACACATATTTCAAAAATCAAATGCTAAAAGCCTTATTTTATCTGTGTATATATAGACATAGATACAACATGCAAATGAAATTGTCATTTTGGCAGAAAAGCCACTTGCCTGTGAGTCGAGTAACCTATTTCATTCACATTCTAGCCTATTCCTTCCTAGTTCCTATGTTCTAAAATATGGCATGAGTTCCTATATTTACTTACGTTACCTTCCTGGGACAGTTCTTGTTTCACCTTTCTAACTTTTTACTCTGATTGTTCAAGCCTTCAATGGTTGTGTGCCGTCTGGATTCATCCGCGTTTACAAAACAGCAGAATTAACTGGTTCTAATTGCAAAGAGCACTGGCTCGCATTTTATTTTTGCTAAAGATTCTGCTTCTGCTGCATTTTGATGATGCTCTGATGTATCTTGTTGTGGTCGATCAACTAATGACTTCAAAGATTAAAAGCAAGACTATTGACTTAACACAAGAAGGAATCTCATCACTGTCTACATACATACTCACCATTTTGAAGGACTCTAACATGATAATATTCTTCATTATCCAAGTTGAAGATTATTAGAGTGGCTTCCACGTCACTAAGGTGAAGGTGAATTGACCCTTTGACATTCTAATTCTTTTAGTTTGCGCTTCTGAATCTCATCTTATTAAGAGGTTTGTTGGTTATTACTAATTTTCCAACCGAAATAGTCTGTCTCAACATCAACTCTACCATGCTGAACAACTTTTCATTCTCCATTACAGTTGAACAGCATGGTTGTGCATGGAACTGATAATGGCGGCAACAAGAGTTTGTGGCATGAAACCACTCTCACGAAAAAGACAGAAAATTCTAACAACCAGTGTGTTTCTGTAAGTTGGTGAGTAAATGAACTAGTTTAACTAGAGATCTTGATCGAGTTCAAATTTTGAATATTTCTAAAGTGGGTAGAGTGGCAAATTCCTCATAGCAAAGCAACTTAAATTATACAGTATTTTTCAATCTCGGTCAAAGCAGTGTCATCTAATGATTAACATATTAAATTTATATCAAAACCACGTTATTTATAAGCCACAAAAAGTACTGGCTATTTAACAAATTCCGTGTAATAAAAAACAACCACATTTAGTTATTTCAGTGGTTGATAAACAACATTTTAACTACCAACACGTACAATTTCGTGATATTAATTAATCAAAAATAAGATTGAGTCCTCTGTGCAAAATCCATGTCCGTTTTAATACTAGGAAAATTATAAAAATATTAAACTGAAAGTTTTGAACCGATTTATCAACATCGCAAAAACTAATAAAAATATGTATAAATCGGGAAAGATATTACATTGAAGTGAAGGTTAGAATATTTTACAATTCCAGTTTGAAAGTTACTTTAAAAAAAAAATCATGGAACCCCGCCATCCATGCCCAGCCAGCCCCACCATCCCATTCAAGACATAGCTTTGCACGTGGGTCGGGCCCATTTAGTGGAGGCCCACAGGTCAAGACCCGATTCATACATGGATTGGTCATAACCACAAACTCAGGGAGGGTGGCCCAATGATATCCACTATATCTACAAAGTGGGCCACCCTTCACCTTGAAGATCTTCACCAGTAGGAAGTTTCTTTCTATTACAAGCACTAGGAAGGAAGTTGGAAGCAGATGAACTAAAATGAATGTGAAAACGAAACTCGGGGCGGCGGGGCCGACGTGTCCGCCGGAAAACGACAAGGTTTTTGTTACACTTTACAGAGACATAGTACACGTGACCGTAGAGCCTCTTGGGGAAGCAGCAATGGACCTTCGAGCTTTCATTCTATGGAGTTTACATGATTTCTGGCCTCGTGTGAAAAGCCGTCTTCTCTTTAGCCTCCACAAGATTCTCTCTTCAGTCCCGAGAGCTCGCATAGATTTTTTCCTTCTTTACTGGTTAGGTCGTGATTAGTGCATTATTCATGGGCGGCATAATAAAATGATGAGTCTTAACTCATCCCAGAATAGCCATGAAAACTTTTTGAGAGTTGTTGGCGGATGATAATCATACCATGTGTATGGATAGTTGATTGGTGGCCAGTTTAATAATCACGTCTTGAAAGTTCATTGGAGATGTGTGTGGATTGTGGAAGATCTTTTAGCTATTTGTGGTACACGAGCGTGATGAATCTGAGTATTTGATGTTTGTCTTGTCAACCAAAGTCTGAAACCCACTTCTCAGTTACAATAATTTGAGTCAGATTGAGCCATCAACTGTAGTTAGAAGCTCCACCAAAGATTTTGGCCTTCTTTTCTTCTTCTTCGTCGAAGCCTCTGGATTCCTGCTGCCCATTACTTTGTGATAAACTCGCTAATTAATGAATTTAAAACACAATAAATATATAGTTGCCTTGCAGTCATCATTTGTCCATTTAAGGTTATTCTCACTAGATTCTATCTCAATTTATAAAATACTTTCAAAAAAATTTTAACATTATAAGATATATAACTTTTTAATAAGAGTAAAATTTTATTAATAATATTTTTTAAATATTACATTTTTTATTATATTCTTTCTCTAATTCTTTTACACGTGGAATATTAATTGGAAGGTATTTTTAAAAGTTTATATTTTTATAATAAAATAATAAGATTGTAAAATATATTTATCGAGTTTTATTAGTATATGTAATTTTGTTTAAAAATGTCTTATAAATTAGGATGAAAGGAGCATTGTTTTTTATTTATGAAAAATGTAATTTGTTAAAATTTTTATATCATCATAGATATATAAATTAAAATATAAAATGGTTGTGAATGTATAACCATCATTCAAATATGTAATTAGCACCTTTTTGCATGAAGGTGTTAGATGACGAAAAATTGTTTTGAATTATTGCTCCAGTGTCTAGTATATATGTATATATACATGGAATTAGCAGCTGAGATCATTAATGGAGCATTACAAAATCATGATCATTCATTCTGTTAGCATATCTTTATTGACAAAAAAAACATATTTGTCCGAGTTCATAACGTCAAACAAAATAAGTGACAATTGTAAAATAATTGTCTCAGTCATCATCCGTCTGATTAAATGTCTATTTGATCCATAATTAATACAGAACATAGTTCATTAAAAAAAAAAAAGAATATGGTTTGACATTTACAAAATTACGTTTAGAGCTAATCATGAGCAAGTTGCATATTTTAAAAAATCATGGATTATTTATCCTTATAAAGTGCAGCTTGTTAGAGCTTTTATCTTGTATATATTGATATTGACATTTAGATTAGAACATAAACTGGTCTCAATAACTGTCATTCAAATATTGACTTAGCAGCTGAGATCACAAATCAAATACTACAGAATCAGGGGCTATTCATTCTGCAAAGCATGATTTTCGGAACTCATAATGTGAAACAAAATTGTCAGTGACATGTGTAAAACAGCTGCCAAAGTCATCAATGTGTCAGGCTAAATGTCTTTTTGATCTATCACCAGAAGAGAATGCACGCACATACTTGGATAAACAGAAGTAGTTAGACCTTAATATAACTATCTATAGAATAGAGCTAATCATAAACAACAAATTGCAAGTTTTTTAAAATCATGGACTATTTATCCTAATCAGCGGAACCAATTCATTGAAGAAATAATTGAATTTGATTGGCTGCATCACAAACAGCAGTCTATCCTTAAGCGAATAAAAAGCCTTTTTTTTTTTTTAGACGTAGACAAGTTTGTCAATTGTCATCCGGCATCATTGTTTAGTCCGTTGAAGACAAGATAAGCTTTCTCTTTTCTCTTCTCTTCTTTTCTTTTCTTTTTCTTCTTTTCTTTTAAAAGAACAACAGATCAGATAACAAAGAAGCACCCCAAGGGATGCATCCCACAAAAGGTAAGGAAAGGCCAAGGAGGAGCCTAAGTAAGTAAAAGTGGATGAGCGGTCACTCTCAAGCGTGTTTGGCACAGGAGACAGACTGATAGGTGTCACTTGTAGATCTTAGGTGGACACTGGGACATATCTCATCTCCACAACCACATGGACCTGAACCCAAGTCATCCACCACAAATTGCTTCCCTTCATATCTTCATCCTCTTGGTCTATATATATATGACTTTGGATTCCCCAGGCCACAAGCACAGCTTCCGTATCAACCCTTCTCTCTAATAAATAACTTGGAACCACCAAAGCTACAAGCACGCAACAAATATGGCAGGTGTGTTCTGTGTCAGGGGTTCAAAGGTTCGGTCATGGGAAAGATGTTCCAAGCACATCAGGCAGCAGAGGACTCGGCTTTACATAATCTGGAGATGCACTGTGCTGCTCTTGTGTTGCCATGACTAGGCAGATTATCAGAGCTTGGTGGCACTCATTGTTGCAGAATGACTCTCGGTTAGAACTTTCGCTGAGCGCAGAGTGTGCATCTTTCTCTGAATCTGAAGTTCCCACTTTTGCTGGCTAACCAAACCGATACAGTCCGCAATAAAACTGAACTCTAGCTTGTATCATATATATACCCTTTTGTTTTTTTTCTGGAGGGAGATTGGAGAAAATCAATGGTGACGTGGTTTTTTTTCTTTAGGAGAAAGAAGAACTAGCTGAAGCTGCTGAATATGTACAGTCCAGATTAGCATAAAAAGTTGAAAGAAAGCTAATATTTCAAGTTTAACCCTTCAGTTCCATTTTAGATTTTTTTTTTTTTTTTTTTAAGAATGAACCCAGTTTGCTGTTGGAACACCACATTTTGGTTGCAAAATGAAAAGGCTTGAAATCTGATATAGGTAGATATGAGAAAGGAAAACAAGAAGTAAAGGGCAAAGTCAAGCTTTGGTCTTAAAAAGGACAACCTGCTGCGCTGTCTGCTTTTGGCCCACTATAGGGATGCCAACATTTAACATTTTGCCTCTGCTGCTTCTCCTTTTTAATCTTATTTTCCTTCTGTTCTTCTGGCTCTTCCTTGTTAATCTTACTTTTCTCCGTTTTTTTGGTGAGGCTTTCTTTTAATCTTTATTTCGCATTCCTACAGACTACAGTCTAATGCGTTTTGCTTTCTCACTTAGGAGAGGGCTCAAGGTTTTCCACCCTTTGTAAAATTAAAAGATTTGCAAAATTGTTATTTTTAAAGATCAAAATTTTTAATAAATTTTATAAAAAAATTAAAAAATTACTATTAAATTAAATTTGTTAAAGAAGCATGATAAAGTATTTGAAACTATATGTTCTATGTTATTTGATCATAAGTCTTGCAAAATTTAATTACAATTCTAATTCCCAATATTATTTAAATTCATTTTTTCAAAATCTCAATCCATTAGATGTAATTTTCCCATTTACATTTTAGCTTCATCTAACTACTACGCAGTTGTTAGATTTTGCAATTGAATCTGGTGATGTTGAAACTTACTCCTTCCAATATAAAATATAAATAGTTTTTAAGAAAAATTCGCATATGAATAAAGTTATTGCTATTATAAAAATATATATTATTATTATTTTGCATACCAAAAAAATATTATTATATTTTTACTCTTAATTTCAATTTCTAATATATCTTATGATGAGTGTGAGATAAATGTATACAAATATCTATGTTAATAATTATTAGGGTAAAATTTTAAAAAATATTTTTTATATGTATTAAGTTGCTTATAGTATAAATCAAAATTAATTGAAAAAAAATGCTTATATTTTAAATGAATAGAAAAAATTAAGGTGGTCAAGTCATCCTCCCAAAAGATTATGTGATTTATCCTTGTGTCCAAGTTCTGAAAGACAATTCTCAGGGGAAACCATGAGTTCCAACTTCCAGTGCGCCATTTGGTGGATTGGAAATGCCGTTGAGTGCGGCGCGCAGCGAGAAACTCATCTACCTGGAAACATTTCGTTTTTTAGTTGGGAAGAGGCTAATTCCATCAAACTGCCTTTAACCTGAAGTCCATGATTTATGGGAGCTCCCGGATCCGTGGAATCCAAAATCTGAAGTTCATGAATATTTCAAACCACAACACATGTTTGATAATTGATGTGCAACGATAACCATGATGTGCCATGAACATTGATGAGCTAGGCCCATATTAACAAACTACACCAGAAAAGGGAATGGCAGCCGCTCTAGAAAAAGGCCCCATATGCAAATAGCTATGGAGGTGAGTTACAAGAAGGTAATTTTTTAACCAGATTCGAAGCTCTTGGTGGACAATCTACAATAAGATGTTTTGCAAGATGAGACGTAGCTCAACTTTGATGGAGATCAAAGCTATATTGACAGTTCAAAAAGATTCCCAGACAAGTTTCGTTCCAAGAGATGCCAACTGTGCTGCTGATGCCATGGCCAAATATGGTTTCAATGAGTCTAGAGTGTTTGGTGCTGCCCCTGCTTTCACAAGGGCCCTGATGCAGAATGACATTTTGGGATTTAATTCCTGTCCTTTATAGTTTTGTTATAATTTTGGGCTAGTTCACTCTCTTCATATATATATATATATATATATATGGGGGGGAAAAAATGGCCCCCTCATCATCCCTCTACGTCCAATCATTTTTAACCTGGCCAGGCTTCGGATCATCCACTCACTAGCTCAACTTATCAGAGACTGAAGCATCTCCGAGTAACCCATTTTGTATTCCCTGAATGGCAGCAAAGAAACCCCAAGCAATTCCATGGGAACCATGAATCATATCCGATATAATCCTCCAGTCTAAGTCCACTTAAGGCGTACTTCCAAACGTTAATTCCTTAAACCCCCTCCCCTTCATTTCCTCTTCTACTCCCTTTGAACCTTCCATCATATCAAACAAGGCGTAGACATAAAAATTTTCATTTATCTGCTTCTCCACAGGAATTTCCAACGACATACTGACATAGGCTGCCATTCATACCACACTAGTTAAACAGTAAAAAGATATATGAAAAAAAAAAAAAGTCAAACAATTCTCTTCAACGTTTTCTGTACAAAATAGCCGGGAAAGAAACAACACCATCCACGACTAGTTAGATTCATATATAGTTGAATGTACTATATTTCAGAGTTTCGTCAGGACGGTAACTAGCATATGAACAATAAAACCGTGAAACATAAAAATCTCATTGATTTCAATCAATGAAATAAGACGAGTTTCCAACATGCTTATTTTGTCGTATCTACAATAGCTTGACTCCCATTTTCTGTTTCTCCCAGTCCTTTTTCCTAGCAAAATTCAGGAATAGAGCTCTTAATCTTCCTCAAAGATTAAATCCCACTCGTCGTCCAGAGGAGCCTTATGTTCAGTTTTCCCGCTTTCTTCTTTATTCCCACTTTCAGAGGACAGTTCACCGGTTGGGGGCGCAGGCTTTGACGCAAGTATTTCAGATAAATCAGCATGATCTGAGCCTGCATCGGTTGCCAAGCTTTTGTGAGATGAACCTGATGAAGCTAAGATGCAACTAGTCTGGCTTGACGTGAAGGACTCGCTCAAGGGGAGATTTGCATCAAATTTAGCCTTGAGAATCCTGATGTCCTGACATATAACAGAAATTTCTCCCCTGGAAAGTTAAATGAACAGCATGTATATTAGAAATTATGTCAAGATCAACTAGAAGAAGAAGCATTGTTCCACTAGGTGAGGTCAGTTACATGAATTATACAACTTCATTGTGCTCAACAAATTATCTTGAGATCATAAATCACAAATTCTGAGGATACAATGAAACAGTAATTGGTGAAACAAATGTCAAACAAACTGCATTCTTTCCTTTCAAATTTCCAGAAGATGGAAGAATAGGGGAACTTTTAATAACATGAAACGGGTTCAAGGTCATCAAGAGGGCTCAAAGCATGCAAAACATATAGAAAACCAATAAGAAGTTTGAATAAGTGAATCAAAATATAAAAACAAAGTAACAGCAGAAAGATTGCAATTAGAAAGGCATTCTGAGGCAAATGCATACAAGAAAGTAACAGTTAGCCCTAAACATAAAATAACTCACTGCAACATATCCACAACTCGTCCACGGTCAATGAGGAACTCCCGTAACTGCAGAGAAAAATTAGAGAATCAAAATATGTTAAACGTATATTCCATATAACAAAATCATTTTAGAGCTGAGAAGCAATAGCAACCTTGGAATTCTCTTCTGCTTCCCGTTCTAGTCTTGTAGATTCTTGGACCACCCTCTCCATGACTGTCTCCTGTTCAACAAGAGCCTTTCTTGCAGATTCCTCCTTTTCCAACTTTTCCTGCTCAGCTGCTTTCCTCAATTCTTCAGCTGCAGCTAACCGAACTCGAAGAGATTGGCTCATCTAAAAGACGGACAGAGAATGAATCAATGGAAGATACTAATACTTCCACATAATAATTTAAGCAAAGCTCTCTAACATACAAAATAATAGGATTTCGTTCCATAGACAACATTGCTAGGTCACATGCCTTCTATAAGAGGCAAGCAGCAATCGTGAAATGATTCTACCTATTTTTTTTTTTCCCCAACGAGTTGGTAAGGCACTCAAACTAAACTCTACTTGCGGGTTTCAGCAACATAAGAAAACTGATATAATAACATACAATGGCTCTCCGTGATCTTAAAATCAAGAGTAGAGGTAAAAAATACAAGGGTAAAAAATAATGTTTGTGCATGTATTTGTACATTACAAATGACCACTATGTTATAACGTACAATAACGCTAAAGTGTGATTTGCAGTGCGTGAATTACAAGTCTAGAATGACACAAGAAGTCCTTCAAGGAACACATAAAACTAACCTTATAGCAAAAAGAAATAATTCAAAATAGACATGCCACCCATGGCAGATCCAGAAAAGGTAATTTCAGGAAGAAACAATAGATGCAGAAAAAGGTTATGATGAACGATTAGCAAATTGAAGGGAAAAGGCAGAGCACCTCATCAAGAATTGCAAGTGATTTATTCTTTTCATCCGACAAACTGAGCAAACGGGACTGAAGTTCCTTCATTTCAGTAGCTAAAATTGCCTTTTCTCCATAAACTTCTCCTGCATGCTGCCAACACAAAAGAGACATAACATTGCATTCATTATACATAACACTGTCAAAGCTGGAAATCTAGTATTTTTTGCAAGCAAGAGATTTCTTTCATAACATTTACTACCATGTCATTTGCTTCTTTTGCATGCATCAACATCTTTTTCAGCTCTTCCACATTAATGAGAATCTCAGATCCTCCAAGAGCAGCTTCCATTTTGGCCTGCTCTGCAGCTTTCTCCTGAAGTTCCACTTCTTTCATTAAGCTGATAAGAGATTCCATTGATGAAAACAGGGTTTTCTGCATCGTTGTTGAATCGTCATAAGATTCAATAAGTTTAACTAAGGTTCTTACCAGATTTCAAACTCCAAGCTATACTTAAATATTATTCTACAAGTAACAAGTCTTACACGATGATTGGCCATTTGCTCATATATAAAACCATGATGACTTTAAGTCATTATTCTCATAATGATGCACGCATAGAATGGGCATACCCAAGCAAAGACCTAGATACTCTCATTCATTAAGATACTGGGTGAAAGGCGTTCAATCTATGCAGTGACTCAAAATGTTCTCAATTCTACTTTTTTCAAACCAAAGTACACGTTCAGTTCTATTAATTTAGTCCTATGGAACAATAAAAAATGCTACTTAACATGCCAATTATTATAAGAAAATAAATTCAAAGAATATAAGTGCTATTCAATATATTATTAACTTATGATCAAATGCAACGCTGCTAAAATGTCTGACCTTTACAGCTTCACCAACCATGTGATCATTCAATACTAGTAAAAGAATGATTGAACTTAATTAACTTTACAACTAAAAGATAGTCACATGAAAAGGGTAACCCCAAATGCAAATAAGAAGCAATCTACCATTACACATTGAAGACAAATTTTTTATCAGCAGTATATCTTCAAACATCGAAGGCAAGATTAACTGGACAAAATACTATATATATGACTAGTCACAATAATCCTGCAGAAACATGAAAAATTAAAGTGAAGACTGCAGTTGTAATTTAGTGAATGATAGATCTCAAAATCAGATTACATAATAAAATGACAAAATGATATTTGTATTGAAAGCAAATTGTACAGAAGAATATACGACATAGTCAGTGGCATTAGCAAAGTCATTTTTACACTATTGTAATTTAGAAATCTAACTCAAAAACTAATATTTATAACATCCCGTATCCAAACATAAGAGTACAAAGGCAACAGTACCTTATTAGTTTTAGCTTCATCAATGATCTCTTCAAGCAGATCAATTCTGCATTCTTGATTAGACTGTCTAACCACATCTTCCCCACTGATCTCATCTTCAACCTCACCGGCTTTACTCACAAGGTAATCTTGTTCAGAAAAAGAACAAGCACTCTCCATATTTCTTTCAGCAGCAAAAGGAGGGCTACAATCAAGTGCTGATTCACATTCCTTAGAATGTGGCATATCCCTTTGATCTTGATCAACTGCTTCAACCTCAGGACTTCCTCCCTCAATCAAGGAAGGTTCACAACTCACTGATCTGTGGCTTATAGCACAGCTAATTGCACCATGGTTATCAGCAGTGGGACTGTCAAAAGATTTCCCCTCCTTTCCATTGCCATTGTCATTCGTGGAAGCAAGTTGCATTTCATGGCACGTTCCAGAAGAAAACAGATTTTCACTCTCTATACCCACACGTTCTAGCTCATGATCACAGCTTCCACTGGCACCATACTTCAAACCATTTGCTGCATTCTCTGTAATCTTATATGTGACATCTACAGAGAAGTTTTCTCCAACCTTACCCAAGGCATATTGCTCCTCACTTTCATTAATTCTGAGAAAGTTATCAGTACTGCCATTGGAATTACAAGCATTTGGAACTTCAGTTCCTTCCAAAATCAGCCTTTGATGTGGCCCAACAGAATAGGATGCAGTTTCTAAATTTTCAGCAGATACAGTGTCAACAATCTGTTCATACCTCAACTTATTCTCTTGTCCCGCTATTTCAAAATGCAAATTGATCGTGAGCAATATATCAGTTAATCAGCTCAATGTAAGCAAGGGAGATATCCATAAAGATGTATATACATTCGGACAAGTAAATATACCTTCTACAAATGCTACAGTTTCAGGACCCTTATCAGATGGAGGAGCTGCGAAAGGCATGGGCCTTTTAGACATTAGAGGAATGACTTCATTCAATACAATCCCTGCAGCTAAGTCAACATCCTTAGGGTGCTCAATAGCCACGGCCCTAAGAACCCTGGCATCAACCTGTTAATTGCATTCAATCAAACAGTCTATAGCCAGGAGCAAGCATCAATACTAAGTCTAGTAAATTGCCAGATGACTAACTCATCCTCAAGCTTGAAGTATTAGCAGCATACCATTAGATTCTTAGGGGGACAAGATTTCTATTGATGATTTGTCAAAAAGCACGCAATTACAAGTAAGAATAAGAAATAGTTGTGTGCAGAGAGAGGAGTTAAGGGTAAAAATATCCACTCATCCAGAACATAAACCTTCATACACCTAATACGAAATTAGATAGTCCAATGCATAACCTTCATCTAATTTGTTTAATGTCTCCATACCCGTTAAATTTACCTTAGCAATTCAAAACAACATGGAAAAATAAACCCACATGATTTAGCAACTAATAATAATACATAAAAATCAAGCTGAAAAAAAAAATTATTAGTTTTTTCAATATATAGAGCCATGCCTGTGGAAATATCTCTTGCAAGCATTTGTAGACAGAGTTGAAACCCATCGGGCGCTATTAACTGCAAGGTCCAAAAAAAAAAAAACAAGAAGGAACTCATTTTATGTTGAGGTTTCAGTAAAGTAATGAAACACAGAAAGTAAAATGTCAAAACCCATTTGATGCGAAATTATTTATTAGGATTCCCAATTCATTTCGCAGAGACACAGAAAGAAGCAACCCTAATTTCACTGTTCTGGAGGACCAGCCTAAAAAACCACCTATGCATGATCCCCCAAGAAAATTAGAAAAGCACACGAACAAAACCACCGACAAAATTTTCCATAATCACGTACTGTAAATTGTCAGGACAATTCAGATACATTAAATTCGATATGGCCACCAAGACAGGGGTAACCTAGAATAAAAAAAAAAAAAAACCCTAAGTATTCCGTTCCAGAACTATTGACGCGGAGGAAGGTTCGATTATATTAAAAACAAATTCGGTTAAACAGAGAATGACCACGAAGCTTCCTCCTCGGTTTCATCCCTCCTTCGATGCATTAACTTTTGGATAGCAACCAAATGAAACGAAGATAGTTTTCAAAGGAATCGCACAAACCTAAAGTGACTACAGTGGAATTCAGAAGGAGACCAGGAAGAAGCACACGAAAAGTACGGCGACTCAGGTATTTGTAGTCTCTGTTCTCGGAAAATGTGGAGGAAGATCGAGCCAAGGATTTTTTTATTTTTATTTTTTCCTTCCCACCTAAGGAATTGGGTTTGGATATATGCGTCGTTTTATTTAAATGTGAGGATATTTTCGTCAGAACAAAATTAATCAGGACTCCAGCTTTAGCTGACCTTTACTTTTGTTTTGTTTTCCCCTGCCCTCCCACAATTTCGTGATGTGCCGCTTCAAAGATTATTTTTCCCCTTTTGTTGTTGTTGTTTTTTTTTTTTGGGGGGCTGCTTAAGATTAGTTGATTAATTTTCTTGTGAGAAATCTCATTTAGTACTACTCAGTTTTTATTTATAAAAAAATTATTATTTTTTATTTCTTTATATAAGCAAAATTATATATTTCAATAAGCATTATTATACATTTTTTAAATCACTTCCAATAATTTATATTAATAAAAAATATTTAATACATGTTTATGTTGAATAACATAGGGTATTATAATATAATTGTTTTTAATTTTTAAATACAATTATTATAATTAATTAACTTTTTTAAATTATATAATATAATTTATATATATATATATATATAAAAAGACGGAGGAAGTACCTCACAAGAGACTTATTAGTATGAACAGCAACGGCTCATAAAATTCTGAAATGTTATTGCAGATTCTAGGTTTTCTATTGAAAATATGTTGTGGTGTTCAGTTATTAAAATGGATTCTGAAATGTCACTGAAATATCTTTCAAGTAATTTTACATATTCAAAGAGTTTGGATAATTTAATAATCTTTTTTATTCATAGTATAAGGCATTGGTGGTAACTATTTCATTATTTATAAAAATAATTGGTTAAAATCTTAATTTTTTTGTAAAAAATTTACATCCTTTTAATTATATTTTTATTAAATATTCTATACAAATATTTTAATAATGACAATGAAAAATTCAATGAATTACTTCTTAAAAAAATAATAAATGAAATAAAGATATAGTTAAAAAAATTAGAAGAACTATTTAATATCTTGTATCTTGGACCCCAGTTTATATACAGTATGCTATACAAAGGGAGTAATTGAATATTACAACTTAATTTCAATTTTTTTGGGTATCAGAACTTGTGGCTTGAGAGCAAATGAAGGTTTCAACCGGAGCATTTATTGCGGCCAAAAACAAAAATAATAGCAGAATAAATTTTCTTTATTTTTCTTTCCCCGAAATCAGTCTATTTTGTTAATTGATTAAACTGATAAGAGATAAGAATAAACTAACTAGTATTTATTTGCTTTAAATTTTATGATAATCAATGACGTGAAAGCTGTTAGCCGGAAAAAATGATGTGAAAACTGAAAAGCCTCTTAAAATTAAAGAATAATTGGCCCAAAACAATTGCTTTGGAAAATAATTAATAGATCAAAGACAACAATATATTATTTTCCAAGATCCAAGATCGTCATTTTCATTTTAAGATTACAGGGACTGTATCTTCATGCTCTGCTTCAACTAGTGATCACATAAACACAGTGACAGCTCAACATTTTTGTTGCCTGATCGAAGCTGATCGTTTATTGTCCAGAAAGAAGCTCCATGGACCAGAGAGGAATCATGGAGTTCTCATTGAATGTGAATGATCCTCCTCATAGTTTTTTAAAACTTTACCTTGCTTGCTTGATTTCCCTGAAAAAAAAAAAAAAATAGGAGCATTACTTCAGAAAGATCAAAGATGTCTAAAATTAGCAGACGGTTGGTCATGGTTATCCTGTAATTATTTTCAGAACTGAACATTTGGAGGGTGTTTAGTTTCTTGTCGTAAACCATCAAAATAATGATTTTGTACTTTCCAGCATGAAACTAAACGCGCCTGGCTTGAAATTTACTAGTTGAATAATAAACATTACGTCATCCAAAGATAAGAAGCTTGATCTTGTCAACTTCATACTTCCATGGACAGTCAAAAGTTTTCTACCACTCAAACTGTTGCAGAGCTTATGTGTTCTTTGGTTTAAGAATGAAGAAAAGACATAAACTTGATTTCCATTCATAACGAAGAAGCCTGTCTATGTATATGATATAAAGTGTCTCAACATAGTTTATTTCTATTATTCCATTGTTGAACTTACCGTGGGCTTGTGGCCTGTCAGCTTTCGAGCAGATGGAATTCGTGCCACAGATGAAGCAGCAGCCGCAGCAGCCACACGTATTCTGCCATATTCATCAACAACAGGTTTAACAGACACTACACACATCGTTAATGATTAGTTCGATCTATTTAATGTTTCGTAGATGGCTCTAGTTAAGATTTTTATTCAAGAGCTTGGGTGAGAACTGAGGAAGAGAGATGGGGATAAATAAAATACCTTCTGTGTACATCAACATATACATCTGTCTCATCTACTATTTCTTCCTGCATTCATTAGAATATAAGCAAAGAACAATTATTTCTTCAGTTCAAGTGGATAATACAAGACGTGAGTGAGTAGTACAAGTACAAGTTACCTGAAGGAGTTCTTCAAAAACATCTTCAAGTGTTATGATACCAATTATTTCCCCATCTTCAAGATCATCTGGTAACTGGTGGATACTAATTTGTTGCTTTTTGGGAACCATAGGAGGTTTATCAATAGTAACAATGATGTTTTTCGTTTCCTCAGAAGATTTGGTTAACAATGGCATTGTCAGTTGAGAATTGTGATTTGTGACCCTGTCTTTCTGAAGTTTCCCATTTTCAGCACCAGTCAGAGTGTTATTTTTCTCCCTGTTCACCTTAACTACGGCTGCCATATGACTGCCTCCCTTCTGGAACTCATTCAGGATGTCATACAAAGGCATGTCTGATGGAACCCTGTAACAACAGACATCGTTAGCCTTGATGATTTGTTGTTAATGAAACGAATCAGAAAAGAAGAGACAGTTGGGCAATGTATTTCATGCCTTGGAATTCTTCTGATGGTAACAGCACTAACTGGTGTTTCTGTTTCGGCTCTGACAGTGAGAAGACTTTTCACCTAGCAAGAGTAAGTGGCCGTTAGACACCAAGAGATAATTTTATTTTCAAGCATTCAGTATTGGTAATCTCACTTACCAGTAAGAGGCCAATTATATTACTGGGATTCCCACAATGCACAGGAACACGGCTGTGACCTTTTGCAAGAATTTTCCCAATTGCTTCCCTGTCACGTGAAGAAAGGAAGAAACGTGCGTCATCTCTAAGTTTAAACATAGGCAAAGTGACCAGCCATAGGTGAAGAGATGAAACAGAAGTAGCTACACGTGTAAGTATAATCAAAGTCTAAATAGAGTGATCTATTTGGAAAAGTTCTAAAACGTTCGGGGTGTAATTGTCATAGAATTTATGCATAGAGATGATAGTGATATTTATAATTCGTTGAGGGCCAAATTGAAAATATTATAAATTAAGTCTATGAATAGGGATCATGGTCCCCGAGTAGGTTGTGACAAGAAATCAGTTCTTTGCTTTCCTTCTAGAGAACCATGAGGAAGTTTCCAACATTTACAATCTAAAAAATTACAGTATCAATCTATCAACCTATAAAATCTTATGACATTTTTCACTACAGATATAGTTATGCTTCTGCATTCAGTTTCTTCTATATTGATATGAGATTATATTTAGGTTTACAAAATTCGGTTGCAATCATTTTTATAGTTTGAATACAAACTTGATTGATTAAGAACAACTAATTACATCAATATCAACCAAGCAGATGTCAGAAAGAAAAACAAATGAAGCTTATATGACTGCTATGTGCGTTTGGACAGAAAAAGTTCATGAACCCACCAGTCCAACTTTGAATCAATATCCAAAGAAAAGGTTGATTCAATTGGTGTCATTGCCTCCTCTGCAGTCTGAAATACAATGTATAATTACATTCCTCAATAGAAAAAGGTCAATATCCGAATAAAAGTTTGATTTTATTTGCCTCACTCACTCACTCTCTCTCTCTCTCTCTCTCTCTCACACACACACACACAAAATGTTCTTCAAAGCAAAAGCTACCTTTTCAGTAAGATCTAGAGCTCCGCTGATAATTGTTGTCTCATCATGTGTGAGTTCGCCCCCTTTACCGGCCTAAAACGGTCGAAATTGTGGTGTCAGTGATCATTCTCTTGTTTAAACGTGGTAATCACTAAACTTTGTTTTCCAACCATGTGGTGATGACTTGAAAGCACTTTCATTAGGCACAGATTTGAAGGGAAATCCAACCGTTGATTATATAAATGGATTACCTCTTGACCATGGATTGAAACGAGGGCTTTCAATTGTGCTCGCCTAAACAAGACATCGTTGTGCCCGAGAACAGCATCCAGAACCTGTGAGGATGGAGGCGCAGTATATATATGCTCAAAAAGCCATGACCTTTTCAAGTGACATAGGCTATATGAACTTTATGCTTCATGCTATGTCAGAATGCGATACAAAATTCATATACCATGTTCAAGCAAACTTGCAAATTTTGACATTACCTTTCCAATAGGATAAGCAATTGGATAGCAGATTATCATCAGAATACGCACCACCCCCACAAAATTTGCACCCACAGAGAGCCTAAATCTTGAGCATATAGCTTGTGGGATAACCTGAGCTCAAATTTCATACAGTTAGCAGATATGAAATGCTCCAATATCTGTGTATAGTACTGGGTTGGGAAAACATGTATGTTTTACCTCTCCAAAAGCCAGAACAAATGTTACAGACAATATTACTGCTACAAGAGGGTGAAAAATTTTGTCAAGGTAAATTGGAAGTGCCTGCAGAGGAAAAGCCAAAGATAAATACAGGACAGGAGGATCTATCAATGGAAAATTGGAAAGCTGGATAAACAACAGGAGGGTTAAGTATATTTTTTCTTATGCACAAGGTGTCCTACTGTTAGAAGAAATATTGTTTTAAGACACAATTGGGTATTAAGTGCGGGAACTTGTCCTATCGGAGATGCAAAATTTACGCGCGGGGACTTTTCCTACAAGAGATTCAAACTTCATTGTAAAGGTCCGCTAGATCCAATTCGATGGGGTTTGGATATATCTTCAGTTCAATATTTGTCAAACTCGGCATCTTTCAGCATCTTTGTACCTGAATGACTGATAACTGACTATCTAGTAACAAGGACGTTCTTTAATTAAGGGGAAAAGGAACCATCTAGAATCTAATGACCCTACATTTAGGAACATTTGGTAATTTTCATATTCCAGTAATAATATGTACTAATAAGCAACAGCCTACAGAACAAGTGAAGGACGTTACAGGTCAGTTACGAGTGATCCAAGAACTAGCAAGAGAATATTGTCATAGCTTCAGATTTGCGATGAGAAATGCGTTGATCGTACAGGATATGTATACGGATATATGCCAGCGAGACAAATGTCGGTTACTATCCGGATACAATTGTCAGTACGTACTGTTTTCTCAGACTCTTTCCATTACTGGGGAATCAGTGTTCAGTTCTGGCCACTTGCTTTCGAATAAGCCAGAAGCAAGATAACTTCCGAAATAACTAATTAGGAGCATAGTAGAGCCAAAAAGATAAAAAGAAGTAAATAAGTAGTGATTCGCGGATACCTCCATGGCACAAGCATTGCAGAGAAGCAAAGTAACGAGCAGTTGATGCTGCTTCTGAACAACTGGTAATATAGCAGCTATATGAAATGGAATATCCCAGGGAGGCCCGGCGGGGGGATAAAAAGTAGAAGACAACGGCTTAATTAATAATCTCTCTCGCACAGCTTACAAAGACAGCAACATGCATATAGGACTAAGGAGCTAGGTTGACGTACCTGCTTGCTTTTTCTCTGTGGTGGTGCCACTGCGCTGGAGAATTTCAAGGTCAACGATGCCCAGAGACATAAGGCCGAGGGTGAGACCAGACATGATGCCAGCGAAGAGGACGAGAAGGCAAGAAACCCCAGCATAAACGAACCACCATAAGGTCCCGAACTCAATATCCTCTGCATCGTATACGATGTGGTCCGGCGACAACTTCGTCCCAGCGAGCTTCAATCTCAGGGAATTCAGCGGCAACATAGCGGCCGAGACGAAAACAATGATGGTAGCTAAAAGAGGTAGTAGCACAGTGCATGAAACGACCCAAATGAATATTGTATTGAATTATATAATGGGCCTCACGGGGTGATTTAAATATGGCGAGAGGCATGAACACATCATTGCATTTACATAATGTACTTCTATCCAGTGCGTGGGCTTCAGTAATTCATTCTACCAACTACCGTTTCATAGTGGACGTGGGCTCCACCGTCCCATGCTGATAAACGGTCGACGTTTGTGCGTTTCGAATATGTGCTCCAGAAGCTGTCGTTTTTCTAATTACGTTGGTGTCACTGGGCGTGAAAGCCAAACAATAATGTACGTTTATGCAAATAGGCCAGCAAACTCCGTTTGTTTTTAGCCAATGTATCTTACTAAGGAAACACATCGATTGGCCTGAATATTGCTTGCAACTTGCACATCCACATAACTGTATTATCCTAATTGCTAACTAGATTATGTTTTTGTCAATTTCTTTTATTTAGTTTTTTTGGCTCTCAGCTATTCATTTTTGGCTTAATTTAAACTAATTGCGGTAATGAAATCATCACTGATTGTATGAGTTGGTGGCTGACGAGATTTTTTGGTAATGCGCAATAAGTTTTTCAACAAGACGCATGCGTGGTTTAAGGACAGAGAGTTTTATATATGTACTTGGTATTTCTTATAAATTTAGTTTATTTTTATATTTATTTTTTTAATCCATTTCATTCTTTTCATTTCTAAAAACCAAACAGTGACCTTCATATTTTAATCATTATTAATTCATCCCAGATATTTTTATTGCTCTGTAGTATTATTGCAGCATATGGATGGGATGACTTGAAGCACGTTCCAAGTAGCTCAGAAATTATTTTATCACGTTTTCAGAAAATACATGTACCTGCTGATGAAATGAGCGTGATTAATTTTTTTATGGAAGAAGTTCACCTAACCTCTGATTTTGTTATTATTGTTACTGCCACAGCGAAAATAATGCCGAGGTCCCTGCACTTTCAGGAAGCAATCGTTTATAGGATGTGTTTGAATTTTAATTGACAACATTTAATTATAAAAAAATTGATTAATAAAATGTGGTTGCATTTTGATATTATCTTCTGAAATTGATTTTGATAATTAAAAATATTTGGATACTTTTTTATAATCGATTATAAAGATGGAGAAAAATAGTAAATGCTCAAATGTTAAGAGTTGATTTTTATATTGAAAAACAAATAGCTCCTCCAAAATGAAGTTTCACAAGTCAAATGGAAATTTGCAAAATCAAGAGTATTTGAATAAGCTTTTGCAAGACTATGATCTCAGTGCCTAGAATTAATTTCAAATGGAAATCTAAACAGGCCATTAAGAATGCTCAAAATTAAGTTTTAAAGCCCAAACTCCCTTAAGATGAAAATGGAAACCAAACATTATTTACATTGACGGAACGCAATTCATTCTCGAGAACCCAGTTTGAGTGTGGAAGCAGCAGGGGTTGCTCCTGCATTTGTTGTTTGGGAGACATATTCAAGTACTCTTTAAAAAAATTATTTATAAATAAAAATTAATACAGAATAAATTATTATTAAAATAAGGATGTAACTTCTTTAAGAGATTCTTAGATATGATTCTCCTTTATAGTTTTGCTGTGGGAGATATTTTAATACTAATTTTCAAAATCCTAGATGATGATATAGAGCTTGTTTGCCAATATATTTTGAAAACAGTTTTATGTTCTTTAAAATAAAAAATAAAAAAATTTGTTTGGTAATGTATTTTTAAAAAGTATTTTGAAGAATAAGAAAACATAATATTATTTTGAAGAATAAAAAATAAAAATATTTTTTAGGTGTTCTGAAATTATTATTTTAGAAAAAAAGGGAGAATAAAAAAATCTAATTTTTTTTTTTCGTAAAACATGTTTTACAAAATATTAATTTTTAAAATAATAAAATAAAAATAGTTTCAAACAGGCCCATAGTACCCTTTACCTTTCTTTCTCAAATTTCCATTCGATGCCATGTGCTAACCACAGCCAAGAATAATCCTAGCTCTCCATTTCAATCCAAATTGATCTCTATTGTTCATTTAATTTAATTTTTAAATATTTTTAATATTATATTTATTAATATAAAATTTTTGAAATTTTAATAAATTTGTTTATTATCAATTTAACCAATACGGATTTAATCTAGCAATTTGACATTAAAAATTATAATTTTACCTTTTGAATATCCAAATAAATTCTGAACAGTTCAGATATAATCTATATGACCTAATTTAATATTAAAATATTTATAAATTTTATAAATTAAATAATTAAATGTACTCTAAATAGTGCAGATTTAATATTAAACTTTTTTATTTTTATTTTAATAAATATAATATTAAAAATATTTAAAAATTAATTTAAAAAGAATGGCGAATATTATTTTAAGCTAAAATGGAGGGTTAGGTGAACATTATGATGAGACTTGAATGAAGATGTTTTCTTTCTTTGGTTCCTCGCTATTCCTTCATGTTTTGCACAGATTTTTCATATGATAATTATGCTACCAAATATAACTAGTAAAGTACCTGTGTAATGCACGGGTTATATACAATAATTTTTTAATGAGTGACATACTTATCATTTACGATGAACTAAAGTTTTTATAAATAAATGTCAATCGAAGATTTTTCTTAAAAGAATAACTTATAGCATATCATCTCTAATACTCCATATTATCATAAATGTAGTGGGGCTATATAATTATAATTTTTAATGTTAAATATGCATATTAGTATTAAATCAATGTAAAAACTAAATGAATACAGTGTGAATGGATACAATAAGCATATTCATAAAAATTTATAATTAATTAGACCAAATTATCAAAAACTTCCCTATAAACAGCATAAGAAGTTTTGTCTATGGATTGACCGTTCTCATCAAGAATCAATATTTTTAAACCTTCCCTACTTCAAACACGAGAAACAACAACATATAACTGACCGTGCGCGAAAATAGGATGAGACAAGTACAAACTGACATTACACAGGCTCTGGCCTTGACTTTTATTAATGATCATTACAAAAGCCAACATAATAGGAAACTGATTCCTTTTCAAAGTAAATGAAAACCTAGAATTAGATGGACACATAGCGATACGAGGTATACATATTTTCATCCTTGTAGTTGACTCAGACATTTCTTGGGCTTCAATAACATGTTTTTCGATTCTTGTAACTATGAGACGTGTACCATTGCACAACCCCATAGACTTATCAATGTTTTGCATCAAAATAATTGGGGCACTCACTTTCAATCTTATTTCATGATTCGAGAGTCCTGACATTAGAATTAAATTTAGAAAATCTGTAGAGTGCAAGTCATCGAGTAAATTCATGTCCCCATCATCTTTTACAACACTATCAAAACTCAAGTATACAACTTCCTCTCTAAGGATCATGAATAACGTGTATTTGTTAGCTTATTCAACCACAGCTAATGTAGGGACTAAGATAGCTCTCTCTCTCTCAAATATGAAGAACTATTGACATTGTTAAGGAAATTTGAGAAAGTTGAATCAACAATAGACTTTATTGGATTTTCTGAACCATCCAATAATAAATTAGCTGGGATCTTAATATCCACAGATTCTTCATTAACTCCAGCAGAGGTCCCATCACCAATTAAGATAATCTAATCAACAAAATCTTAAATATCACTATTAGATGTCATATTATTTGTTGCCATAAGTCTCATGTTTCCTGTTAATGTAAGAAGTTGACAATTATCCCATATGTATGAAGAGTTAATGGTAGCAAAAACAATCTCTTCTTTGGATCCACCTGGAATAACAGGAAGGATCTACCTAAAGTCTCCGCCAAACATGACAACTTTTTCTCCAAATGAAAGATTGGCAGCTAATAGGTTACTAAACTTTAGAATATCTTTCAAGTATTTATCAAGAGCTTCAAAATAAAACTTGTGTGCCATTGGAGCCTCATCCCATATAATTAATGACGTATGAACTAATAATTCAGCTAAGTTACTTCCTTATTTTATGCTACATATAGTGTCTTCTGTCACAAAAAGTGAAATGCAAAATTGTGAGTGAGCTATTCATCCTCCTGGAAGCAATAAAGAAGCTATCCTACTTAATGCTACATTGAGAATAATTTTACCTCTAAATCTTAATGAAGTATATAGTGTCTTCTAAACATATATTTTCCCAATACCACCAAATCCGTAGGGGAAAAAAACTCCCCCTTTGTTAGATGCAATAGCACTCATGATTTTATCATAAATTATCTTTTACTTAAGTGTTAGTGTCTGCAACAACCTTGCCAATTCAGTAGATAACACAACCCTATCATAATTTAGTTCGTTTCTTATGAGCTTGTTCTCACTTACATCCAAGCTTGATATGTTAGGTAAAGGTATTGGCTCAAAATTTATGAGACTTTTTCCATTAGATTAAAGTATTTTCACAATCTCAATCAATGTAAAGTTGTGTAAATTAGCATCATCTAATTGTAATCCTATGAAAATATTGTTGTTATATCAGCAATATTGTTTGATAATTTATATAAACTTTATTACTACTATTAGATTGTAGAAAAAAATTAAAGAATACAAATGTAATTACTATATACCGTGGTGTCCAGTAATATTTTCTTTGCCTGTACATAATACCATCTGATAAGAAGACCCATGTACTATCCTATACAACCTCTGGTCGAGAGAACAAATCACAGATATGATTAGTACAAAACAGCCTTCTTAGAAATTGTCCAAACCCATTGGCTTGCTTCTATAATACCATCAATATATTCTTTATCATTGTCTAATAATCCTAGTACATAACAGGTATCTTTAAAAGTAGTGTAAATGACTCCATTAATGGTGCGTATACTCTCATATGAAGTATAGCCTTTGACGATGGTTAGCAAGGTACGTAAATAATACAATTTACCATTACCTGGAGGGGTATAGTATAATCTTTCAATTGAAAAACCCTACTTCCTAAGCTTCCACTCACATAAATCTTTCTTATAAACAAAATTAGTTGAGAATTCAGGATATGTTAAGCCCTTAG